TCGTCAATATGATGAATCGCATCACTTTTTTGATTGTTAAATCAACCTTGTACTCATGAAGTAAATCGACCTTGTCATGATGAACCTTTTTATACACCCCTGGATTTGGTTGGCATTTTAAGATTTTTGCATCTCTCTTTTGAGCAGTGTCTCTGGAAGTGTGTGCATGGTGGGGGCCCGGGAAGTCAGATGAACACATTCCCGATTGTGCCCGGGCCCACCTGCGGTCACTGCTGTGAAGGCTTCATCCAGGTGTGGCTCCCTCACTTCCATCCTCTCTAAACCAGCTTCCCCTCATCCCCTAGCCGAAGGGGCGCTTCAGGAAAGAGACCACTTAAACCTTCGGCCATGGGAATGTGCTCCAACCTGGTGGAGTGCTCCATCAAGATCCGAATCGCGCTGGGTTATTTCCAACCCCAGCAGCCTGGCGGATCCTGGAGCCGGCTCACACCGCCTTGCAACGGCCGCTGGATACAATTTCAGAAATTTTGCAAGTTGGTTATTGATTATAGCATTATTAAAAATTAAATCATATAAACTTGCAATTAAATAAGCTATATTAAAAACAAAGGTAATAGTGAAAATGAATCACTTTTCAATTAGCTTATTGTCATCTTTGCCCTTCAGGTAACTTCCATTTATTGCATCTATGTGGTGAAAATAGCACGTGATGGTTGGCTCCTGATCGCCTTTTCCCAACTCTGCATTCGGTGGCATCGTGGTGGAGCTTGAGATTGGCTGTGGTGGGAGTGTTATCACCTGCTACGGCTCCTCCAACAGCATTTTAAAAATCTAGTTCCAGGCCCTGGCCCTGCTGCTTCCTGTTACTCCGTTGGATTATACTTTGGGATGAAGGTCATTTTGACGGTAGCCTAAAGCTCCTTGGAGATGCTTCAGGTGTTTAGCATCTGACGTTCAGATGGGAGAGGTACAGGGGTGGGGTTCGAATGTGCCCCCAGCACACACATTTGGAACAAATTAGCGCTTATTTATTTATACACTGAAGTTTTGGATCTTTGCCATTTTGTTTGGGAAAAAACACAACTTAGCAGATCTATAGGATCAAGTCCATCGCGTGTTCTTCTCTTGAAGCCCACAGATCGACCATCCTTTATCCCCTGCCCTGCTCTGTAGGGTCTCTATGGGTGACACCAGCCAGGGGCCCTGGCCTGTTATGCTCCCGGGGGTTTCAGCCAATGGGAAGCACTGATGGAAGATGGGACAGGTCAGGGTATTTATGCCCTGGCTCCCTCCTTGCCAGGCTGTGGTTGGCACCGGCTGTGTTGAGTGGCTCTTATAGGTACAGTTTCCCTTTTTCTAATTCCTGCTTCCTCTCTTTGCCCTCTGACCCTAAGAGATGGTAAGAGTTCTCCCCTTCCACTGATGCCAGCCCATGTGCGTCCCCCTCGGTTGCTGGTTTCCTGAACCCTGCCAATACCCCTCTCCATAGCCCCTGTATTAGACTCCCCTCAGCCTCCCTTATGAGCAGGCTGGCTGTTTCCTCCTGGATTTGGACCCAGACCAAGCCCTTATTCTTGAGTGTGGCTTACAAGGCCCCATCCTTCCTCCCTGAGCCCCTCCTCCATACAGCTGTGCTCCATCGGCTGGGACCGCTCCACGCTCCCTCTCACACTCAACCCTTCCCACCGCCAGGCATTGCTTCTGCTGCGCCCTCACCTCTGGGCACCGTGGATCATGCCGGCAGCAGGCACTTGACTCAGCCTTCACCTGTTTGAATGCCAGTCTCCCTGCTGGGGCGTGGGGGTGCTCTTGGGCAGCAGGAGTGAAATACCCCTTAGATCTGGCACAATCCTGGTCCAGAGCCATTTGCTGACAAAGTGACGGCTGAAAGGCAACTCTTTTCTTCAGATGCCATCCTCACGCAGCAAATCATTAGTGCATTTTCTTCCTTGGAGAGAAGGGTACCCAGGCACAGAGACAGTGTTGCCGGGGCCTCTGTGCTGGTTGGAAGAATGGGAGATACGTACCCTGCTCCTCCCACATTCGCTGGCTGGGCTGGGTGCTCAACCAACACCAGGGCTGCTTAGAGGAAAAGAACCCTATTTGTTGGGTAGACAAAGCAGGTGAGGACACTGTCATCAAGCCAGGCTGGCTTGTCACTGGCTTATCTACTCCCAAAATCCATCAGAGAAGGGGTGGGAGAGCATCATTTTTATTGGCCAAATGCATCATCTTGCTGAAGGAAGCAAGATTTGGAAATACTAGAAGCCAAACCATTCTTGTAGTCAGGTCTCGCTGTCTCCACTTCTAACCAAAACAGTACATTCAAGGCCGAACCATTTCCAGTCTGCTCTGTACTTGTTATTCTAGGTTATTCTGATTGATTATGACAACACTGTCTGGGAAATTCTCCACACACCATGGGCCTCACAGGTCAGGAAGCAATTAGTCAAGAATTGTGCAGCATCAGGGCCAAAGTGGCCTTTCCTTCCTTCCCAGGGCTGGAGAGCAACCAGCTGAGCATCACTGAAGGAAGGAAGGGCTCGCTGGCCTTGGACTTAACTGCACTGGTGACACTGCCATTCAGAAGCCTCCCTTCTCTGGCAATGCTGGGTGGGCTGGGTGGCTTTCTCTGGCCTGGAATGTACATTCTCACTACCAGCAACTGCATCTCCACTGATGTGACTTCATTAAGCACCTCGTCCTGTGGGGCTGCACATTAGAAGCACCTGGGAGCTTTAAGCACTACCAAGGCCCGGCCCCACCCCCAGAGGATAGAATTTAATTGGTTTGGGGAAGGGCCTGGGCACTGGGACTATTTACAAATTTCCTTAGGGGGTTTTAATGTGCAACTGGGCTTGTCAAACCGTATCATCCAGCTCATTCATTAAAAAGGACACATGAATTCCTGTCCTTGTCTCCTAGGAGTTCACTGTCTAATGGGAGACACAGACATTATCTCTGGTGTCCGGGCAGAGGACCTGGGTGACTGTGAACTACTCAGTGGCTGAGGCTGGGAGATACTTCAAAGTCAAGTCCAGAACTAGCAGACTCCCTTCCTGAACCCTCCCTTGGTTGGTGTGTGTGTGTGTGTGTGTGTGTGTGTGTGTGTATGTGTATGTGTGTGTGTGCAGGGGATACTACTACACAAGGAGCCCTGGAGATATATCTCATATAAACAGGCACACTGAACTAGAGCTTGGGGCAGAGTAGCAGTACAGTGGCTCCCGACAGCTCAGTTCACTGGGGCTCAGAAGCTCCTGCTTTGAGGGTGGGACAGTGGGAAGTTCACCTACCCAGAGATCCCCCCACACCCATGGTCTTTCATGTATTTTCCAGAACTCAGCATCTCCCCAGGCCTTCCTTGATCACTCTCAAGAAGGGGGGTCCCCACCCTCTAGTCCCAGCTCTTCCCTCTGACATCATCTTGTTTCTTAGTTGATGTGTTGTCTATCTCCCCCTTAGAATGTGGGCTCCAACAGAACAAGGTCATACCTTCTTCTTCCTGTCCCCAGGCAGTGCTGGGCACATGCAAACACCTAACCAATACCTGCAGAATGGCCGAGGGAGTGACGGGGCACGAAGCCCCAGAGCCCTCGTGGCCAGGTTCTTGGCTCTAGCAGGACATCTTCCCTTCTCCCCCTAGAACTTTCCTTGCAAGTTCCACGGGCATCCCAGATACAAGGGCATTTTCACTCACAGTCTCTACCTCGCAGGCCTTTGCTGAGCCCCTGTGTCTGGTCTAGAGATGCGTGGGGAGAAGCAGGCCTGCGCCCTACCTTCCAAAACTCACAGCCCACTGGGCAGACAAGGCCATAGGGCAGAGAGAGGCTCTAGCCCAAGTGCTTGGGTGAGGGTCCCGGGTGCCAGGAGAGGCATCCTTAAGTTGGGAGGCAAGGAGCTGACTCAGCAGGCAGAGCTTGGTGGGTGGTTAAGGAAGGTTTCCTGGAGGAGGGTTGAGCTAAGCCAGTCCTGGAGAGGGTGAAGTGAGGACGAGATGGGCATGGCTAGGGTGAAAGAAATTGCATATGAGAGGCATGCAAGCCGAGCTGAGAGGAATGAATCCCAGCTGCAAAGCTCGTGCTGAACCTCGGACCCTATGAGTCAGAAGGGGAAGGGTCCTCAGTCACTGGCCACCTGGTCAGACCCTACAGGAGGAAGTCACAGCATGTAAGTGATAAAGCTGGGACTCACATCCAGGGCTCTGGCCCCCCGAGCCTGAGGCCATGCCTCTGTAGGAAGCTGCTTCCCATAGCCTAAAGGAGGGAAAGCCAGGTCAGAAGGGTAGGAGAACACTGCCCCTGGTGGCCCACAGCATGGCTGGTTCTTTGGGTCTGCCCTCACCAAAGTGGTCTTCCCTAAAGAAGATGTGAAGAGTGCTTCTTCCTCCAGGAAGCCTTCCCTTCAGGCCCTTGGTGAGTGCCCTCATTTTATTAGGCTGCACTGTCTCTTCCCTGGAGATAGGATATATCTGCATGGGTGCTGGATCCTCAGAGGTTGGCACAGTATGTGTTTGTGGCCTGTATGGCTGACTGAGTGGATGTTGTGCCAGGCCTGACCCATCCCTCAGCCTGAACTGGCTCCTAACCTGCTTCCAGTCCTGAGCCTGGCTAAGCCACATACTAACCCTTCAGCAGTTTGCACTGCTCCTTGGTGATGACGTGCACTTCCAAAGTCACGTCCAGCCCCACCACTGGGTCTACTTAGAAACGGCTGTCCTATAGGGTTTACCCTGCTTGACCCTGTGTCTCTTGCAGAGCCGCCCTTTGGACATCACATCAGGAGTCTGACCTGTTTTTCCACCATCACAGCCAGCTTGGCATGGGCTCAGGACCCAGGCACATTTGCTCTTCCAGAGCAGGCCTTTGTAAAATGGCAACAGTTTGGGCTCGAGTGGGGACAAGAAGACAGAAGAGGTGAGAAATGTCTGGAGAAGGAATCACATTCTTGCCTTCTGAGTGTCTGGGGACAGACCAGCCAGGCTGACGGAAAAAGCCCTCCCGGCCCCTCCCCCAAGAGCATTTAATAAACAGCTGAAGGACTGAACGACAAACTTTATTAGAAACGCTCCTCATTCATCAGTCAAATTCACATTAGAATGGGGGGAGGCAGTGCCGTCTGGGGCTCTGGGATTCCACTGCTGTGACAATTTCCAGTTAAAAATGAGTCTGGGCAGAGAGAGTCGAAAACATACTCGAGATGCCCAGTGGAGGCGGTCTTAGCAGCAGCAGCAGCTTCGCTCCCGGGAGAGGACCAGTTTCCGAGCGGGTGGAGAAGGTGCCTCCCATCTCCACCCTTCCAGTTACAAGGCTGCCCCCCGGGCCCCAAGCTGATAAATAAACAGCACATCACACACACATCTGAAACAGAAACAAACTCGTACATGTCTCCTAAAGTGAAAAAATAATTTGCTCAAATAAAGCTTTGCGGCAACCAGGCTGCATCCTGAATGGACGGCTCCCTAGAGACCCCTGGCACCCCAGGAAGGCTCCTCGGGCATCATCCACTAGGGTGTCCCAATGCCCCCGATTTCCCCATTAGCACCTTTGGACTAAGTACTGCCCTCACTGCCATGCTCCTCTTTTAAAATGCAACTGCTACTTAAAATAATAATAATAATAATAAAAGAAACACTCTGTCCCTGGGGTGAATGAGTGAGACTCAGCTTCCCTGAATAGAGGTGCCTGGGGAGAGCGGCGGTGGGTCAGGTGGGGAAGGGGGGCTTGGGACAAGGTCAGTAAACGACTTTCAAAGAGGTACGCTCGCTGGAAGGCTTCTAAACACACTGCTAGGTCCACTTGCCAGTTCTGCCCTCGGGCATCCCTTCCAAAGGGGCAAAGTCCTAACTATCAGCACAAGCCGGCTGCCCCGACCAGGGTGGGGGCCCAGGGGGGCCCCCCCGGCAAGCTGTCTTCAGCATTCATTATTGAGGCAATTTTCTCCCCCAGCTGGCCCCGTCCGCACCCCGGCACACAACAGAAAGTCTCCTGCCCCGATGTTTTATTCATTGTCTTGAATTTGGAAACAGGCTCTCTGATCAATAGCGGTGGCTGCTGAGTCCCGTGCGCCGGCGGGACCTCCTCCGGGCGGAGGCCCCGGGCCTCTTGGCGGCTTCCGAGGAGGGCTCTGGGACCGCTGCTGCTAAGGCAGCGGATACTGCTGGCAACAGACATTCGTCTTTAAAGCTGGCGACACGTCCTGGCCTTTCAAAGAACTGAAAGTTCTGGGGGGCCGGGGTGGGGAGGCAGCCCCCTCCTGAAGGCCCGCGCGCCGGTGGGACGCGAGGCCGGCGGCGCCCGCTGCTGCTCGTCAGCGCCCCCAGGCCGGCTCACTGGTACTGCAGGTAGTTTTTGAGAGACTGAGGCAGAGGCAGGGCGCCGATGTCCCGCAGGCGCTGGCGGCCCAGGGCCGAGCGGATGGTCCTCCGGCACAGGTCCATGAGCGGCAGGGGCTCGGCTGCAACGACAGCGAAGAGGTCAGAGTCTCGCAGCGGCCTTCCTCAGCCTTCCTCCCCGCCCGTCCGCCCTCTGAGCCAGCTTTCAGGGCCCAGGGCTGCCCTGACAAGCCCTCTAGGGGTCCGTTAGCTGAAGGCTTACAAGGGTGTTTTTCAAAGCGTGGGATGCAACTGATTAGACTAAAAAATGGTGACATCCATGCAGTGG